GTGTCCCACCTGCCAAGAAACCGGGGTCTGGCTACGCGCAGGAGCTTCTGGGAGTCGTAGTTTCTGGCCTTGCCCCGCAGACTATCACGCATGCGCGACTCGGAGCTACCCCGAGAAGTATGTAGCCTTTGTCAGGCCCGGGATGGGAGGTGAGTTACATGGTGGGATGCTGCGGTCCTCCGTTTGCCTCGGCGGTGGTCCACTGGTCGTTCCGCGCCAGATGGGACTGGAGTCCGCAGTTCTTGAGCTCCGTCCTCTCCCCGCCCCACGCGCCGGCAGGGATCGCTCCCTGCGGGACCCGGGTGCAGACGGGAGCAGCGGGCGGAGCTGGGCTCGAGGAGGGGTTGTCTGCACCCTGTGCTACCTCGGGTGTTTGGTGCCCCCAGGATAGCTCCAGGCGCCATGGACATGCATGTAAGGACCCAGATTCAGGATGCTTTCTCTGGTTTCCAGGTCCCACGTGATCTGAGTGACGCTCTCCGCAGAGCCCAAGAGGGAAGAAGCCCTTCGAGGCTCAGTGAACGACTAACTGTGCAAACCAGAGAAGAGCAGAACCTTGGGGACATTGAAGAGGCGGGGATAGTGGAGATGGATTTGGTTGAAGTGCCCCAGAAAAGAGGTAGAGTTGCTCACGGGTTGTTTTTGCGTCGTGAAAAAGTTGAATTCTTCCCTTTGAAGGGAAAACCCACCTTTTCCTTGAGTTGGGTGGCTTTTGGGACAAGAGGGCGACTTGTCAACACTGTCTTGAGGATAGGTGGGCTCTGAGAAGTTGCAGTGCTTGCTCTGGGGTCACTCCCCATCCACTGTGTGCTGCACAGTGGAACCCCCAGTGGGAACATTGTCACAGTCTAGTCACAAGTTCTTGCAAATTATTGTCCATCCTGGTTTCCATCGTGTATACAAGAATTCAGCTTTGTAGTTGACAAAAGTATTTTTCTACACCTATTATCCCACTTCATCTACACGGTTAAAGGCACCGTTTTTATACAGATAACTCGAAATGTATTTAACAGGCACTAACGTGTGGGGCTGATGTCAGTCCTACTAAACCAGTGTTTCATGAACTTTAGTCTGTGACCTACTGTGCCAGAATTACCTCCAGGGGTGTTTGTCAGATTTCTATATATCACCTCAAACTCAACCAATCATAATTTGGAGGTGAGATCTAGCAGTCTACATCTTAAGTAAGGTTTAAGAGGAATTTTTTGTTGTTGTTTAACCATTGAGTCTGCTTCTAAGATTTTAGGTAGACTATGATGGGAGCTTACTTATTCTAGTTGGTAGACCAAGACTTCTATTTTCTAGGAATTGTTATTAGTAGAGCAACTAAATGTAAGGCCAGAGAAGCCAGAACATTCCTGGGCATATCCCACAGTACTGGAAAAGTAACTGTTTATTTTGGATTCCCTGCAGTCTTTGTTAACAGAGGGGTTTTGGTGTGATGAAGGGGGTTTTAGATTGTAATTTGAGTATCGAGATGGCTCTAGACCCGTCACTACTGCTTTCTTGCCCTTAGCTCTGTCTTCCCAGGATTCTCTCCTTTCTGAAGAGAAGAGAGCAGAAGAAGTGGCTTCCCTGAGGCTCACAGCCAAGTCCCAGGTGAGTCTCCATGGGTTAAGATCCAATTCCATCTGTGTCTCTGAACGCACATGCACTCCTATTTGGGGATTTCTTTGTCCACAGAGCCCATCTAGAGACCTGAGTTCTAAGACACTAAGGACTCAGTAGGAAATGTTTTCTTCTTACTCATAGTACCTCTCTTCTCCATCTAGTATTTATTGTCTCTACAGGCAGGTAAGCCACATTTCTCTTCTCCCTCCTCCCCTCTATGCTAATATCTGCATTCGGTAATGTGGGAAGCTATTTTAAGGGTGATACAGTACATACTTCCTGAAACTTGCATTTCTCTAAGGGAAACAGCCCACATGTGACTGTAAGTAGGAACTTAAGACAACACCTTAAACACTGAAGTGATTAGAATAATAATACAGACTCAGTTAAAACTGGTGCTGGAAAATGCCTATGAAGGCTTAGAAACTCAGGGTTAGCAACCAGTCCTCCCTGGGGAAGAATTTGAAGTTTTAGGTCTACAGTTTTCCTCTTACCACTTTTTGTCCCTCTCATACAGAGCAAGTGTTTCAAGGGAGAATTATTGGATGTGGAATGGATGGTGGTTGTAATAATTGCTGTGTTCCTGTTGTATTCTACAGCCCAAAGATTCCTCAGTCAGCCTCTGCTAGATTAATGCTTGTAGAAATGGCTTATTTTTCTATCCCTTTTGATACTTTCTCAACTGCCCCCGGCGTCTTGGCAAACTTTACTAACCCAAGAGGCTTCAGTAGAGTCTGAAATACTCATCTTACACTGGCTTGTGAAAAAGGAGGTCTTGATTGACCAACCTAACTGAAAGTCTGGGTTTGGTGAGGTAAAGGATTTAGGCAGTAATGTGGAGAGCTAGTTTGTCCATTTTTTTGACCTTTTTTGCTCTGAAACAGGCATTTTTTTTTAGTGACCTCATCAAACAAGTGTAGGCTTGCATCTTCAAGGTTGAAGGTTAGCTGTTCCCCTAGTGTTAGGATTTATTCTAGCAGCATCTAAGGCCTTTTCTTACACCGTTATTGGTGTTGGCCAAGAGAAACTGTTTGTGGAATATACCAGACACATTCCACCCCTGACTCCAATGGAATCAGTTCTGCAGGGTTGAGTGGCCCATCACGGGAGCACAGACAAATCAAGGTACAGATACCAAAAGCAGGGTGAATAGTTGGTGCATTTTGATACCTTGATACTAGATTGAAGACTGTTATATCATCATGGTGGATTGGCTCTTTTATGGATAGTTTTAAAGTCTGTCCTTTTTAATTTTACTAGATTTTATTTAATGCTAATATTGGAACTTTTGTGTTCTTCTCTGCCTGAGTTGGTTAATTTTTTTTAATCTTTTCTTAGTAGGTTTAGAAAATATGTATATTAGTTTTAGTTCTTAATGATTTAACAAGCAGCACAGAATATACAAATGTAGAGGTATGGTAACATTCCTCCCAAATCACCCCCTCACCTCTTTCTACAAAGAATCGTTGTCTGGCATGCATTTTTCTATATTTCTTTGGGTTTAGAGTACTGAATCAAGATGACATGAGGTACACTGTATTTCCTTCCATTTCCCTCCCTGACTCCACCTGCTCAGTGTTTGGTTTAACCTATTCAGTAAATATATCTGAGCTTTTAACAAGATCATTTTATAAGGAACTCTGCTCCCACACATTGAGTATTTAGTGCCGTTTCTCCTGCTGAGTTTTCCCTACATTGCTTATAACTGTTTTCATTTTTACTGTTCTGTTTGTTTTATTTTGTTTTTCCATTGAATTGATGAGCAGTTAATTTTCACTGAATGTTGATTGAGCTCTGTGTGTTCAGATTCTGGGATCAAGGTCACCTTTTTTTTTTATGAAGTCTTTTCTATTTAATGGCTGCTTGGGGGAGCAGGGTTTACCTGTTATTTCATTTTCAAAGATGATTCTTTTATTTCTAAAATCTCAAATTATTCTGGAAACTTTGAGAAAAATCTAGACATGGGAAAGGTTGCAAATAATGACATGGACATCTCTTTTCTCCGTTTCATCGAAACTCCAGAAGTTAATATTTTACTTTGTGCTAATCTCACTTTTGGAATTGGGACATCAGTGTTAGCATAATACAGTGCTTTGGCCTTTCCCAGATGTCTTATTTTTCTTTATACTAAAATCTACTTTGTTGGTTTTTGCAAATGCTTTATGAATGTTTAAATAGAAGATGACGTATGTCCAATTAAGCAATTATTTCCACAAACTTGGAATATTGTTCCCTTTCTCTATTGCTTAAGTAAAAGGGGCACATTCATTACCAATGTGTAGCCATCTCTCTCTCTCTCTCTCTCTCTCTCTCTCTCTCTCTCTCTCTCTCTTTCTCTCTCATATTACTGAGATGTAACCTTATGAGATTATTTTCATAACCACTTTTGAGTTACATCTGTAACCTTAATCAGTTTATAACATTTTCTAATTTAATGCCCTTTATCTTGAATTAATTGCACACTTAGCTGGATTTGTTGTTCACTGACAGTTTTTTCATTCTATGACCTCTCTGTTTGCAACCTCTGCATTATAATTCTTCTGAAGACTATGTCATGTTTTATGTTTATTAAGGACTTATAGGGGAAGTATGCAGACATTCTTTTTTTCCCCTCAGTGCTTATATCTTATTTTTTGACAGAAAAATGGTAGTCTCTCAGTGGTGGAAACAGTCTTATTTCTGAGTGTGCCTGGTATTCAGTGAAAGTACATAGACTATTTGGGATCTAAACACTATTAGAAAACCCATCACTTCTCTTGATGAGTATATCTTGGCTGTATGTATTATTTCCATCAGGAACAGAATGAAAGGAAGGGGTGTTGTTTTAGTCAGGGCTCTCTAGAAGAACAGAAATGACAGAATGAATATATATAAAAGGGATCTATTAGAATGACTTAGGGACTGAAGTCCAACTAATCCAACAGTGGCTTCCTCCTGACAGAAAGTTCAAGAATCCAGTAGTTATTCAGTCCATGAGGGTAGACATCTCAGCTGGTCTTCAATATACGTCAGGATCCCAAAGAAGTAGGCTCTACTGCCAGTGAAGGAACACCCCAGCAACAGGATATATAACTTGCCAGTGAGATTGAGGGCAAGCAGTCAAAAAGCAAAAGCTTCCTTCTGTTTCGAGAATTTTCATTGATCCCATGTTTTCATGTCAGTCGACATGAGAAAGTGTGGTCTAGGTTTAGGGTGGGCTTCTGATCTGAAGAGATCTAGATTTAAGGTGGGTCTTCCTCGTCAAATGGTCCAATTAATTAAAAATTCCTCACAGGTGTGCCCAGCTGCTTGGGTTTATAGTTCATTCTAGATGTAGTCAAGTTAACACCTAAGAGTAGACATCACAGGTATCAACCAAAAGATAATGAAAAAAGTATATTTGTGTCTTAGGAAACCATGACATTCAAGGATGTGGCCATGGACTTTACACCAGAGGAATGGGGGAAACTGGATCCTGCATGCAGGGACGTGATGCTGGAGAACTACAGGAACTTGGTCTCACTCTGTAAGAATAGCTTCTTCCCATGACTCTGAAATCCACTCCTGGCGCTGACATTACTTCATGAAAATGAAATGCATTAACAAGCCTTCACTTTTCACTTAGAAGTCATGAAGTATTTCTTCTGGACATAGAGGGGGAAAGTGTTTTGTTTTGCTGAATGCTGAGGATTGAATCTGAGCTGACATGTTCAGATTTTCTCCATCTAGTCTCAGTTCCACTAGACCAGACTCTATTCAGTCTGGTAGAGAGAAACCACTGTGAAATAACCACTCTGAGACTTAATATCTATTTATAATTGTTTGGCCATTGGCTTAGGCTTCTTACTGGCTAGCTCTCTTTTAATTATTAACCCATAACTATTCATTTGTGTATCTCCACACGGCCTTATCTTATTAGAGAATGCCCAGGCATCCTACCTTCCCAGTAGCTACATGGTGTCTTCCTGACTCCGCCTACTACCTTTCTCTATTCCTGTTTGGATTTCCCGCCTAGCTAAATCCTGCCTGTCCATTGACCGAAACAGCTTTATTCACCAATCAAAAAGAGAAACATATATTCACAGCGTACAGAAGGACCTCCCCTATCACATACACACTGCCACTGAGCTCTATCCCACCCCATTCTGTTCTAGGTCCTTGGTGAAGTGTATAGGCTTGTTGTTTATCAAGATTCAAATGACAGCCTAATGTACACTGGCTTCATGGGGAGGAACTTAGAGAAGCAAATGTGTCATTGGAATTATGTTTATTTACTTAGAGTAAATTGGCTTGTCTTTGCCATCTTATCTGTTAATTTATTGAGATTCCCATATATGGCTGAGGTGGCGTCAGCAGCTCTGGGGCTAGGTTATTCTTCCAGTTAGCTCAGAGAGCTGAGCAAAGAAAGGAGATGCTTTTCTTTTATTTTGAAAATTCAACTAATGGACATATATCTATCCATCAGATAAACAGTATAGGGCAGAGAGGGGCAACGTTTATGGCCCATTTTGGATTCTGTGTGCATTGCATCAC